AAGTTGCTTCACCCTTTGTTCCATATGCCACGGAGATATTCCTCAAGGTCCAGAAGTCTTGTAATATGGTAGAACCGAATGGTTTGTAGGGTTGGGTGCTTTGGATCCTGTGTAGGTGTGGATGTGGAAAATACCCAGCATATTTACAACTGCATCAAACAATTGCAGATTGCAGGTGAGGTGCTGAGTTGGCTGGACATGTTGCACCCTTGGATTTAAAAGCCACATTTAAATAGCTGTGTGGCTTGTCCTTGAGTCTGCAACCTGCTGCTAATTAAGCAAGTTGCAAATCATCTGATTATGAATAGTCAGTTCTACTGTATTTGTAAGAGACCACAATTATCTGTGTGTGGGGGACTGACAGTAAACTTGCTGTGTCCTTCTGCTTTCTAGTAGTATAGTTCCAATGTCTTGTGCTACAAGAGCACTGTTAAATAGGATGAGGGTAGTGATGTTCTAAAAGGCAGTGAAATCTGTCTGTGTTTTTTTTTAACCTTGCTATGGCAATCTTTTTTGGGGAAATATGGAAGATGATGTGTTTTCTTGCACTCATTTGAAACAGTTCATATTATTCCTCTGTGGATCCCAGCCCCATGGAATACCATTTCCAGGATCATGGAGAATAAGTATACTATGAAAGTATTTCTGAACCTCCTCATTGTGCAGCAGTGAAGAGCCTGCATGCAGAGGTTGGGGTCACAATTTTATGTTTCATTATTTTACTGAACAAAGGGGCCAAGGGAGAAGAGGTCAGGTAAATCACCATTGAAACAAGTCATTTATTGACATTATTATATTTATTGTTCATTTTGTTGTTGTGGTTTACAGTCTTTTTCAGATGTATACATGAGCTGGCAAAACACCAATGATGGAATTATATTGGTGATGACATGTGACTTGTGAGGACATATTGCTAAAATCTTGCAGTTCATAAATTAGACATTGCAATGGGGGAGAGGGAAATCATAAGTAAGTTCAGTAGATAAATGTCTGTCCTTTCTCCAGAACCCTGGTGTTAAGAAATGTGAACTAACATTTCTTTTAAAAAATAAGAAGATATTTCTCTATTGTCACTGTCTGTTATCAAGGCTAGGGCAGAAGTTGCACATAAACTGATTTAAGTGATCATAAATTGGTTTAAAACTGTAACAGGACAGAAGTTAATGCACAAAAGCCACTTTCAAAATGGCCAAAACTGGTTTAAGATAAACCTGGATGGATGTAGCTTCAGACTTAATTGATTTAGGTCAAACTGATTTATTGAACTTCTGTCCCACATCCCCTCCTGACTGCAGTTAACTTAGTCCGCCAGCATCCCAAGATGCTTTGCAGCCCTGGGCTGTGCTGAATGCTCCTGCAGAGCAGGGCTGGTCCTGCCCCAAGCTGTCAGATCTGAGGAAATAAAGCCTCTGCTCCCCAGCCTGCTTTCTGCCTGTCAGCTCAGTGGGATGGGGGCTGGGTAGAGGAATGGACCCCCCCCAGATCCTCCTAGCTTTTTGCTCCCCCCCTGCCTGCAGCCCAGTGAGCCAGGCTGTGAAATGCTCAGGTCCAACCCCTCCCCAACCCTCTGCCTCTGGGGAATGCACCCCCCTCCCCTGGTACCGGCCTCCCAGCCATGGTCTGCCCAGCACAGGTGTAAGCACTCACTGGTGGGGAGGAGCTTTTTGCCCTGCTGCAGCTAGAGCTAGGTTGGGATCACCCCAGCTGTGCTCCCTTTTCAGCTGTGGGTCTCTGAGGAGGGCAGGGGGTAGGAATGCACCCAAATGGCCTGTCACCGGATCCCTACCCAGGGTCTGCCCAATGCCCTGCCACAGCTGGAGCCAGGCTGGGATTACCCCAGCCCTCTCCCTGCTCAGCCAGATGTTTCTGATGTGGGGGCAGGGGATGGGAATGCAGGCCCCCAGCCTGGCACCAGTCCCCCACCTGGGGTCTGCCTGATGTGGGCTGGAGCTGTGTTGGGATCACTCCAGCCCTGCCCTCTTGTCAGTCAGAGGAGGTGGGGGCTTCTGAGATGGGGATGGGTGGTGGGAATGGACTGGCACCTGACCCCCACCTGGTTCCCAGCCCCTGCTCTCCCCTCAGAGACTTATGTCTGAGGAAGGGACTGAGCTAGGGCAATCCCAGCCTGTTCCAAGTACAGTGGGGTGAAAAGCTCCATGGTTGGGGGCTTGCCACCTGTGCTGGGGAGGCCCCAGATGGGACTCCAGTGCTGGACCATGGGGGTGCATTCCCACCCCCTGCCTCAGAGGCCTTCAGCTGAGGAGAGGGCAGGGCTGGGGTGATCCCAGCCTGGCTCCAGCAGGAGTGTGGGGCAGACCCAGGTAGGGTTCCAGTGCCAGGCTGGGGTGATGGTGGGGGGGGTTGTGTTCCCATCCGCCATCCCATCCAGCTGAGGATGGGGCAGGGCTGGAAGAATCCCAGTCCTGCTTCAGCTGCAGCAGTGGGGGCTTTCCCCCACCCTGTACCGACCCTGGCTGGTGGGGGGCAGTGCTGGTTTGGGGGTGCATTCCCCCCAAAGGTGGGGGCTGGGGAGAGATTGGCTGCTAGACGCATGCCCCCACCTCTTTGCAGTGGAGGGTAGAGTCAACAATCAGACCTAAGCTACAGCTGAGCTGAGTTCAGCAGCCTTAGGAGTGCCCCCAGGCTCCTGGCCTCTGCCAGTGTAGGCTTCTGCCTGTCTTGGCCACCCGAGCACTGAACATCAGTTCAGTTGATTGGTTCAATTTACACAGCTTAGAAAAACCTGCAAAGTCTGAATTGATTTTGCCTTGGGTTTTTGGGCCTCTGTAAATAGCCTAAGAGTTAATTCCATCAAAGCTATGCATGTGTGTGTACTTGTGGAAGTAGGGAAATGTGATGGTATTAAAAGGGATATACCCAGAATATAAACTTAGCTTTGGCTAGAGAGCCACTTTGCTACATTTGCTATGAAAAGAACATGTAATTTTGGAGACCAAAAGTTCTTAGATTGTAAAATGAACATGCATGTTGGATTGGCCAGCAGTTAATGTTTGATTCACTTAGCAAATGTTCTTTGAGTGATGCATCTGTAGTCTGCTCTTACTCACTGCTGCTTCTGGCCTCTGAGCAGAATTGAGCATGACTGACAAACTGGAGAAACGCAATGTTGTGAGAGAAGCTCGTGATCCTAAGGAGTGATCTACACACCTCTATTGGACCAACATAGAGAAGCACTGTCTTCCCACTTGCTTCTGCTCAGCCTGTCCTAATCCTAGAAATGTAGTATTATAAAAGGTGTGGCTGTGGATATGTGCATCTGAGATGCAGGGACTGGGCAGTGGCTGTGGGCACATGGTTATGGCTGCTCTAAATGGATTCCACTGCCTATTTCTGGCATCTGGTGTGTTCTGACTGGGGATGAATGGGGGAAGTGTGTTTCCCAGCAGCACTCCCAGAAGTGCAGATATGCCTTTAGGCTTTCTCATCTCAAGTGTGCTTCTTGGTGTGTGCTTAAGGCTACTCTAAGGCAGCTGCACTAACTCATTTCTGGGATTTCATGTGAACTGACTAGGAGCCTGTGTGTGCTTCTCAGTGGCTGTCCCAGATGTGGCAGGGAAACAGTGTAGGTAGGGCCTAACAGGTGTTGAATATTGAAGCTGATGGAAGTAGATGCTATTTTAGCATTCCCTAGGGGTAGGCCATTGACGGCTAGCTTAGAATAGGCTTGACAGGATTTGATTTTTATCGATAAACATAGATTTCACCTGTCATTCACAAACTGAAGGAAAACTATATCCATCAGTAATCACTGAAAGAAATAGAAAAGAGATGTAAAAAAACAACAAGCTGGGATGGGGGTAGGGAAATCTAGGGCAGGGGGTACTGTGTATGCATGAGCACATGCACACACGTATGCACAGGTGCATGGACGCATATGTGGGGAGGGGAGATTTTTCCCCCCACAATACATGGGGGCTAGGCCAGGCATTGAGCTCTGGGAACATGGGGAGAGGACATCCAGCCTGGGGTAGGAAGTAGCTGCTTGCAGCTTTGTAGGGGGCTGGCCCCACCTGGCAGGCATCAGTGGAGGGGCAGCCTGGCTCTTTGACCACATCCTCCTACTCCTCTGAGCAGCACAAAAGCAGTGTCTGGGCACTGGCACCACCACTATATGCCCTGGCTCAAGCATGTAGGAGCTGGGCTGGGTAGGAGCTCTAGGAACTTAGGGAGAGGCAGTACATTCAGGGCAGGGTGCGCATGGCTTAGGGTGGCCACTGACGCATCCTTAAAATACAGGACTGCCCCTTGGTGAGGGGCTGCCTCCCTCAGCCAGTCAGCAGCAAGGGGTGGGAGAGGGGGACCCACTGAGCCCCGTGGCCAATCAGCAGTAAGGCGTGGGGCCACCGCCTCACTCCCGCCTTCCCTGACTGGCTCGGAACCCCTGTCCTCCTGGCTGTGCACTACTCTAGGCACAGCCAATAGAATCACAAGGACAAATGATTGACATGCATTTCCAGCAACAAACTGACAAACAGGACGTTTTGTTGTCCATTCCTTGTGCAGAAATGGACAGGGAACAGTGTTTTAAAACAGGATGGTCTGGTATAAAGCAAGACCAATGGCCACTCTAGTGGGGGTGCCCCCAGGGTACAGCTGCTGTCCCTGTCCTGCCCAGAGGGGCAGGAGGCCATGGTTAGCAAGGGGACAGGCTGCCCCTCTGCTGGTGCCTGCCAGATGGGCTTGCCCCCCCTAAGGGGCAGTGGGGAGCAGGGAAGTGCCTTCTGCCCTGGGCTAGGAGCGTAGCCCCGAAAATTTCAAACAATAAACATCAATAAAAATCGACAAAGGCAAAGAAATGCTAAAGAATATGAATCAATTATAACCATCAAAATTATAAAAAAAAAATTAAAAATTCTGCCAGTGACCAGAGGCCATCCAGTTAATTTTTAAAATGAACTTATTTTAATCTTTTGCTTTAAAATATTTTATTTTGTTTCAAAATAACCTGTCCTCTATAACGTGCACATTTTGTCTTGCAGCTTCTCTTTTGAAAGGACTGAAACATGCAAACATTGTGCTGCTTCATGACATCATTCACACCAAGGAAACATTGACTCTTGTATTTGAATATGTGGTAAGTAAAATTAAATTAATGTTATAGTTCATGGTCCAGGGTACACTGGAAATCAGTGGAAATACCCTTATTAACTTCAGATCAGGCCCATAATAACCCATTGGTTTCACCAGGAGAATGGAAGGGCGCTGTTTTGTTCTGGAGTATACTAAAAACGAAAGGCTAACTGCCATACCCCTGAATTCAGAGTCAGTTAGGAGACTAGAAGAGCACATCAGGTCACTGTAATACTAAATTAACTTTTCAACTGGTTTATCAGTCTGCTTTCTGATCGTGGCTTGTTTATTCAATTACTTTCCTTAGTGTCAAGGTGGGAAGCAATTTTAAAATAGTTAGGTGGAGCAAATAGGATTAAAATGTTCCACAGGTAATTTCTATATCAAAAATAATGTGATGAATTAAAATGGTTGTTGTTGTGACTAACTAGTGCATAGTTTCTGAAAAACCTTCTTTAGTAAAAAGCATCACTAAGAAAAGTCTGATGCCTGCAATTTAGACTTCATATATTTTTCCCCCTTGACTGGTGTTTCAGCTATTAATTAAAACTTCAATTTGTATAGTACACAATGTAATGATCTAATTGTGTTCAGAGTATTGCTTTCCAGAGTCTTGGGCTTGAACTCCTAATTAATCTTTCTACATTTTTCTAAGACAAACATATGGTATTTATGTAGAACTATTTTAGCATTTAACTGTGGAATCACACTATGTACCATCATAATTAGCCTTCCAGTTTTCACAGATGGATCTAAGAACATGTAATTTATAAGAAACAAATAAGTCTAAAAGAGATTTGACTTGAAATAGAGTATCTGTTATTGTATTATAGTCAATAAGGTTCTGCATTTGTAACATGAAATGATTATTGTCTGTTTTTGTAAATGAGAGATACCGCGACTGATGTTACTATAAAATCAGTGACTTGGACCAATACTTGAGGAAGAGGGGTTATTCTTTGTAGCATTTCTTAATTTTTATATGATGAAGTACACTTTTTGTCATCTGAAAAAAACATTCACTTTGCCTATTGACATAGAAATGATTTTAATGATCCAGGTATTTGGGTATAGTAGCATACATAGCAAGTTTCCTACCTTAGGTGTAGAGACATCAGCTCAAATCTGACTCATCTTTGTTTAAAGCAGCGATTCCAGTGTCACTAGCTTCTAAACTGAATTAGCATTGGAATAGTGATTATATTTAATGTTCTGTAATGGGCACTGGAGATTTATAGCCATTAATTTACATGAATACAGTGTGCCATTATTATATCAAATACTGTGTTTAGCAATAGATAATGTTTTCCATGAAAAATTTAATGGAAGGTTTTGCTTTTCTTCTATATTAAAGATTGTTTAGGCTTTAATCCTGCAAAAATATATGCACTCATAATTTTATGTAGTGAATAGGGTTGTAAAAGGTATATTCACTGAATTCACTTTTTAAATTGATTTCCAAGGTACAGGCCTTAGGACTTGACCCTGTGATGGATTGAGCACCCTTTACAACTTTTAAGAAGTAGAGTGTACAGGACCTTGCAGACCTGAGGCTGTATTTTCTGGTTGCCAAGTTACAGCACTCAATCTCATGAAGTCAATTCAGTAACAAAATAAAGCCCCTCTGGAGCACTAGTTATGTGCTTCTCATGACCCACCCCTGTAAGAAAGTGGGTTGCAGTGCTCTGCACCATATCCAGCTTCTGGATGGTCTTCAAGGGCAGCCCCACCCAGACTACTGCAATGCATTTTATGGTCAAGGTTACAAAGGCATGAGAATTCAGGGGCGGTGACTGTCACAGAATTCAGGGCTCCAGTGCTCCAGTGGGGATGGCCTTTGGCAGCAGGAGGCAACCAATGGCTGCGCTGACACAATGCCTTCTACCTTGCTATTGCTGGGCCTAGATCCAGCCTGCAAGGAGCCTTGTGGTCTGAATCCAGCCTGGGGGCGGAGAGGGGATGAATTCGATTTGTCTGCAATGAGAGAAATTGGATTTGTGTCTAGTTTACTGCATTTGAGTTTGTTACATGAGTTGCTAAAGCTGTGCCATGCCTGCTGGTCCTACTTTTAACAAGAAGTGGGGTTTCTCATGCTGCTCTTGCTCAAATATTTTACCATTCTTTAGTACCTTATGTTGCTGGCTTGGATGATAACTGTCTGATTACTCCAGAAGCAGTTGCATTCCTAGTATGTTGACTTGTTTCACAATGTTTTGAGTGTGTTTTATACAGGCCATTTAAAATAATTTAAGAGCAGTGTATCCCAAAGCAAATGAAAAATATTTTTAACTTAGTGGAAACATCTTTTACTTTTTGTATTCATTACTACTGAAAAACCTGTATTGTGGCTTCCAAGGTTGCAGATGCTAACAAAAGCCTATTCGTCAGCACACTGTGATGGAGGAGCATGAGTGTTCGTTCCAGAGTTGTTCCCCTCCCACACAGGGCCTATTCCAAAAGAGTATACGTGACCTTATGGGATGTGCCAGCTGCAAAAGTCTGTGTAATGATACTGAGTCAACTTAGCTAGAGGAAAAGATTTTTTCAGGTGAGAACTGCAAAGCTATTTGAACAAGGGTTCACATCTGCTCTGATTAAACTTGGGACTAGCTGCTATTAATAGTTCATTTGTTTGTTTAAAGGGAAGGCAAATTCATCTATGAACATTTAAACTACTTTTAAAAACCTACAGAAACGTAGCTACAACCTTAGTATAATGCAGTCTCTAAATGGTAATGATATGTATAGTATTACATGTACCAGTAATTATGGAAATACATTATCTGTAACTGGATGACTACATTCTGTCTATACATGGCATGTGAAAAAGTGAACTTGTGTAACAATTCTTTTTATTATGCTTTTAATATTTATGAACAAGAATTGAAATGCGAACAGATATATTTATAATTGAAAATATGATTTGTAATGAGTAATAATTATATTTCTGCCTCAACTATGCTATTAGCAAGAAAAAAACCCCAGACTTACATATCAGTGCAATTTAAAATCATGCATTTTCAATTATCTTGCCTATTTTAATCTTTGTGTGTGTGTGTGTTATTTTTTTTAAATTATTTTCATTTAAAAAAAAATTAATTTTCATTGGTTAATTACAAGAGCTGAAATATAGCTTGTTTAAGCAATGGATTAGTTTAATAAATTACAGTCATTCCTGTTTATATTTTTTCCAATGGCAAAAACAGGCAAATGTTTCTTGCCTGTTTGACATCAACATTGATTGGTAAATTCCACTACGTTGTTTGTTAAAATTAAAAGATCTAAAGTTTTTAAACTGACTACTTACACTGAGGGTCAATATTAAGATACCTTAAAAGGTCCTAATGTAAGAAAATGATGACCAGCTGCCATCTGAAAAATCAAGTCAAGCATTCCAAGTCAGAGCTTCATAGAAAATAAAATTGGAAGAGACCTCAAGAGGTCATCTAGTTCATCCACTGCCCCAAGGTAGGGATAACTTTTAATGAAACTGTTCTTGACAGATATTTTTAAATCTGTTCTTCAAAGCTTCCACTGGCAAGCTATTGTCACTTTACAACTTAGGTCAAACTATTATGACCTTTTTTACTAGTCTGTTCATTGATAATAAAGCTAATATTTAATGGTTGACATGTAGTAAAAGCAACTTAAATAGATCATGCTTTTCAATTTTTCTGTGCTACCCCTAAAGGTCTCAAAGCATCTTACAGACAGTACCTATTAGACTGTAATCTGGCCTTGGGTGTCTGAGATCTTCCGAGGGTCAGAAGAGCTAATGGTATTGGATAAGGCCTCCTTCCACTCTTTCTTTGGAGGGAGCCAGAAATAGCATCTTCCTCATCCACCCTCATTTGTATTGTGGTGGAAGAAAGAGGAGGGCAATCTTTTTGTATACGAGCAAAAGTGGAGAAAGCACTGCCTAGGAACTATTCGCTAGGACTGTGTAAAGCCGGCAGTATTTGATTTGGATTCGGCCTGATTCGGGAGACAGCGATTTGATTTGCTGATTTGGATCACTGTCCCAATTTTGATTTGGCTGAAACTAAATCTGAAGATTTGATTCTGATTTGGAGAGTCAGAGATTTGACCATAGACACAGATTTCTATGTTTTTTCTACGTACCTCAAGGTACTAGATGTGGCTCATGAATGCTGAGATGGTGGGGCAAATGGAGCATCCCACAGGAGCGGGGGAGGGGGGAGGTTCCCTGCATGCTCGGTGACAGACCCAGAAGAGGACCAGAAGCACTTCTGGTTCACTTCCAGGTCCACCACCGAGCATGTGGGGGACCCTCCGACACTCTTGTGGGATAGTCCATCCACCCTACCCTCTCAGCTTTCAGGAGCCATGCACCTTGAGGTGCATAGAAAAAACATAAAGCCATGCCTATGAATGAATCATCGAATCTCTCTGAATCTCTCTGAATTGATTCAGAGAGATTAATAGGTCTTCTGATTCGATTTGGATTCAGAGATTTGACCGATTCAACGATTCCCTCCTCCAATTCAGCGATTCCCTCCTCTGAATCGAATCAGCAACCAGAGCTTCTCACAACCCTACTATTCTCCCCCTTGTGTGGGGTTGCAGAGCTGATGTTCTGTCTGCTATTAGAAAAGCCTCAGATCTCCAGCTTTTAAACCAAATCTCAGCTCCTCCTGCTGTTTCCATTTCAGGTTACTCTTTCTTCTTATGAAATACCACTTCAATGGCCAAAAAGAAAATAGATCTCTGGAGGAGCAGGGCATTCCCAAATATGAGCAGAGGTGAAGAGTTCTTTGTCTGCTTTCACCAAAGAAGGGAGACCTGCCTTTCCTATGCCTTTAAATCCTTGCCCCTAAGATCTGTACACTGATGGTTACTATTTTAATTATACCACCAAATGAAAGAGGCACAGAATGAGGCCGAAGGAGTAGAGGGAGAGGAAATCCTGTATATGGAGCACAAGTAATAAGGGAATACTGCTCTTGGGAAGACATTGTTTTTTCAAAACTTCTTTTAATGAGC